TATATATATATGCTCCGAGCTTTCTTTTTCAGAAGCTTAAGCAGAAAGATCAAGAAATCAATGAGAATTTATTTTCCCTGTACACCTCCATTCACACCGCAGCCCTAAGTCCCAAAACATCAAGTCTCATCCCTACAGGTTACACAGATGATTCTGATAGCTGTAATTCCAGAAGGGTAAGTGCTTTCCATTTCAATTAAAAAAATACCCTCCTGTCTTTTCATATTATGTTGGGAGTTCTCCAAGAGGTAACATTTTTTTAATTTTATTTTATTATGTTATGTTAATCACCATACATTACATCGTTAGTTTTTGATGTAGTGTTCCATGATTCATTGTTTGCGTATAACACCCAGTGCTCCATTCAGTACGTACCCTCCTTGATACCCATCAATGTTTTACAGGTACCTAGAAGCACCGTTTGAATGGAAATACATCAGCCTTCTTCTCAGGCTCTCCCACTATCCAATCTGTATGTGCCTTACCTGTCCGAACCAGGGACTGACTTTAAACTCCGGAAGTTTTGGCTGTCTAAGTCCAAGCTGTAGCTTCGCCCACTTTCCGTTTTTGGAGTTATGATTTCTCCCCTGGTTGCTGATCTGAACTTGCTCAGAAGAAATCTGAAATTATATAAATAGGTCTATACTTAAAAGGTAACATAAGAGAAAAGACATTTTAAAATATCCTTTCAAGAATACCATTTCTTAAAAAAAAAAAAGGAATACCGTTTCTAATATTCTCAACAGTAAATAATCCTTCAATAAAGCGGCCTTGGGGCTGAGAGGTTCTGGGGAGTACCCAGTGCCTCGGCAGTATGCTGTCAAGGGGGAGCGTAGAGGCCGTTATCATATTCTCCCAAGGCCATACCACTTGCTGGTAGACCAGGGCTCTGTCCCCGCTAGGGAAAAGACCATCAGCTTTGGAACTCCCCACTGTCACCTGAGAATGGAGAAACATCGCCTGGGTTGAGCCTGTATTCAGGGATGCTAAGAATAGGGAGCCTGAACTCCCCTTGCTCAGAGAGGGGAGCTAAAATCATCCTCTGGGACAAACTGAGGTGGCCACTGATTAGACTACAGCTCCATGAGAACAACAACTCTGCCCTGCTGGTTTCCTACCAGCTCCCCTGAGCCGAGGGTGATGCCTGGCACACACGAGAACCCAATCAATTCTTGCGGAATGAATGACTAAACCCAGGTGGTGGAAACCATCTTTCTATCCTTCATGACATTTCTCCCCGTGGGAGTGAAGTTTGAACAATGGAGTGTCTCATGTAAGATGAAATCCGACTCTGTTGCCATTTTACTAAATTATTTAGAACTTGAACAAAAATAGCTTTCCAGGAACTGAGATTTGAGTCACAATCGGGGCTACTGAGTGCCCAAAACATGAGGGTTTTCAAATATACTTTAATAAAGAAGCAAAGCTATATTCTTGTTGTGACAGCATTGGGAAAAGGCAGTTCATTTACCTTATATTCTACTTTTCTAGGGGGAAAAATGTATTCCAAAGGTACGGGGACAATCTTAATAGAAGCTGCCAAGACGTCTCTGTTTCAAAGATATATCAAGAGTGTCTTGTCAAAGTGTCAGAAGCTTCAATCTAACTGGAAAGTAACATTTTTTGGTGAGAACAGCACTTAATATAATTTCAATCTGTGCTGCTCTCAGAACCCCCTTGCACATGACCCCACATCCATTCTTCTACTTAAGCTGTTTCTTCCGTGTGGAATCACTCTTTCCCACCTTTTGCTATCCTGGACCCCCGCCCATTTTTCAAGGTCCCCATCTAGTCACACTTACAATTTGATGTCTTTCCCAATGGTCTCTGTGACCTCCCAACACCGATTGTCTGAGCCCCTTATGTAAGACTTACTTAATTATTTCTTGCCTTATGATCTCTCTTATAGTGAATTAGCACCTCTTTTTCATTTAGAAAGGCTTTCAGGTAGCTCCCATTGTCATCTTACACTTTCCCGAACTTCTTCTATACATATTAACTTTCCAGGCGTGAACCTTTTCTACCCAACTATAGTTGTTGAAGACACATCAGATCTCAGTTTTGAGTTCCCGCAGGCTGCAGTCCAGCGCTGTGACTGTTTTTAATTCAGAGTGTATACCATTCATTGTGCTGGTGGGTTACTTCTTGTCTCCTGGCTCCAAGGTCATCGTTCTGTGACCTACGCAGTGAAGCCTGGGCTAGGGTCTGCAAATTACAGCTCCTACAAGCACCTGCGGGCTCTGAGTGGCTTGTTCAATCAAGCCACTGATTATTTTCAATGAGCCAGGCACTATGCCCGAGGCTGTACCATGAAAAGAAAGAAAGAAAAAACAAAAGCCACAAGTCCAGCACTAAGGGAGCTCATAGTTAAGTGTGTGCTGGGGCTGGGGAGCGGGGTGTGGCGTCCGACTACAAAGTAATGAGTGATACACAGGCACACGGCCTTGTGGGAGCTCTGAAGGGCGACAAATGGATTCAACCTGGGAGGAAGGACCGACACGTGGGATGTATGGTCAGTCACTCCAGGCTCTCTCGCTCTCACATTCATCTCTGCTAATTAATGAAGACATAGTTAGTCATGAGTGTCTGAGTTACAGAATATTTAGGCTTCATTCCCACACACAGTTCACGATTCTAAGAACCAAAACCAAAACCAAACCAAACCAGACTTTCTCTAGAGCCAGAGAAAGGCTCAGTACTAGCACTCTCACATTGCTTCCTGCTAAGAAAACAAAGCAATGGGGCGCCTGGGTGGCTCAGTTGGTTAAGTGACTGCCTTCGGCTCGGGTCATGATCCTGGAGTCCCGGGATCGAGTCCCGCATCGGGCTCCCCACTCAGCAGGGAGTCTGCTTCTCCCTCTGACCCTCTCTCCTCTCATGCTCTCTCCCTATCTCATTCTCTCTCTCTCAAATACATAAATAAAATCTTAAAAAAAAAAAAAAAAAGAAAACAAAGCAATGCTACCTAGAAAGAATCATGCAGTGACTCGGTGGATATTAGAATCCTCACTACCTAAGCCACAAAACAGACCAACCATTGCCTGAGAAATGCAGAGCTGAAAAATGCAGAGCTGGGAAGCAGAAGTTGGCCTTTTGGTCCTTTCTGCCTGCACTTTGGGGGCCTCTTTCCTCCCCTGAGGAAGCCCCAATGCCCCCAGTTTCCTAATGCTTCACTGAATCTTGCTTCCCTCTGCGCCTCCCATTCTGATTCTTTGTACTTGAGACAAGTCTTTTCTGAATGAAGGTACTGAGGTAGCCAAGCGTGCTTTCTTCCTTAAGGAAGCTCACATTTTAAACAGGGGACATTAAGTTTTAAGCCCAATTAATAAATCTTTCATTTGGATATTCCCCATATCAGCACTCAGGTTGAGGGAGGGTGGTGACATTCCACAACCAGGCCAGTTGTCACATCTTTATAGACAAGGCTGGCCCTGACATGAAAGTTTCTACCTCGAAGCAATGAGAGCCATTCAGTGCGAGACCAGATATGTCAAATGAAATAAAAACTTTTACAGGTTCAGGTCCAAGGGGACCTTTAATTATTTAAGACCAAAAGTAAGTAAAACTGCATTTCCCTGAGGGAAATGATAGGAGAATGTTGCCTTGGTCGGTTATGTTGACCTTCTCTGGGTCACTGAAGTGACATCCAACTTGAAAAACTACGGAGTCTTCATTTCAGAGGTTTCTGGAATAAAGATCAACTATTCCCTTGGAAAAGGTACGTCTTACCCCTTTCTTCTGGGTCCGTCACGACCGGCCTTTTGCCTGGCAGAAGGTGAAGTGTCTGCCTTTTCTGGGTCCCGGCGGGGTTGCTCTTGACTTTGTATTTCTCCAGTTCCTCATTAAAAATAATCAGAAGACAAAGTTCCGTACAAAATGGCCAGAAATGAGAGCAATTTTCTATTCGTCATTCACTTTCCTACGTTAGCACGGGACAAAGAAGTCTATAATAATTGGCAATGACATTCCCATCCCGACTCCTAGTCACACAGTTATTTCTAATCTGCTGAGTGTTCCGGAGTTAAAGGAAGATGAAGATCAGGATTCATTGGTGGGAGGTTTGCTGAGATAAGCTTTTTAGGGATGACTGTGATGGAGGAAGGATACATCATCCCTCTACAGATATTTTTAGAGTGGAGGAGCCTGGGTTCACGAGAACTCGAAATCCCTAGAGACGGGATTCTAACAATACCCAAATTCTGAGTGCATAAACCAGATTCCCTGTGACGGCGAGCCAGTGTCTATACCTCATGACTTGAGGGAATCTACATTCCAAAAGGTGCTGAGGTTTGAGTGGGGAAAGCAGCCAGAACTAACTGCTTCATTCTAACTCTACTCCATTCTGTCCCCGCGTGGCATCAGACCCGATCTTACCCATGTGGGAAAGCCCTTCCTTGCTAGGGCCACACCCAAAAGTGACACTGGAATCAGTCCCAAGCCTCCCAGCTCCACCTTCCAGACTTAAAAACAAGGGCAGTTGTCTCTGGATATGAAAGATGAGGCGCCCTAGCAACAGGCCAGAAGATGCTTGCCCTGCCTTTACTACGCTCTACATGAGAAACAGGCTCCTAAACACAAGTTTCACTCGATATTTAACCAATTAAACTGTCGTTTGAATGCACCGAATAGCAGGCTCAAGGGGGGGGCGGTGTTACTTGCTTTGGGTGACAGTATAATTCTTCATTGAGTGAAAGGGTCCTGAGCAATTCAGGTCATTTAGCACTCTGGCTCCTGCCCACTAAATACTGTTCAGGCATTGCAATCTGGTTGTTGCGTTTCTAAATGCTCCCCTGGCTTGAGGGAGGAGGGCATGGGATACAGTACCATCGCTTGGTTGAGAACCACTGGATTAGTAAAAGGAACATTTAAAAGCAATTTTATTGAAATACATTCGTGTTGAAAAATCAAGGATTGCTTTCACAATGTGAATCATTTAATTCATCTGTTTTATGTTACTTTCTTAAATGTCTAGTAAAATACTGGAAATGCATTCGGGGAAAGAACTATCTGTGATGAAGATAAATGCCTCCTTTGAAAATCTTAGTGTGTCAAATATATGGAAAATCACTGTGGATTTTATTTTCTACTGACTTCCTCTTCCCTTGCATGAATTGCTGATTTAGATTTCATTCTACTTAGTTTTGAAATGACCTAAGGGATTCAGGAAATTCAACTATGTTCATTTGCAACATATATAGGGAAATTATGGAGCCCACCAAAATGAAGAGTAAGACAGTTTTGAAACCAAATAATTGCTTTAATTACCTGGACATCTTCTTAAGATGGACTGTCGGACTACATCAGTGCCCAGAACATTGACTTGCTTGAAACGCTTTGCCTTTTCTTCAAAAAACCACTCACCAGTTACGATCCTTAACTGTCTGCTCAAGGGAAAAGGGGAGAGCAGTGAAATTCAGTTATTTGGCCAAATAATTAACTCAAAAATCCCTAGTTGAGTAAAAAATAGCCAGTCATTTATAGAGTCTATCTCAATGTCTCCAGTATTTTACGATGATTATAATGGCTACCTATTACTTGAATATATACTATATACCAGTTACTTGCTAATTGCTCTTCATACTTCATATATTTTTATCCACATAACAACCCTGTGTAAACATTATTATGCTCATTTCATAGATGAGGAAATTGACACTTAGAGCAATAAAACGACATGTCTCATATCACATAGCTGGTAAGTGATAGAGCCAGGATCCCAGCCCAAGCAGTCTGGTCTAGGGCTCAAGTTCTTAACCACTGCATTAGTGCGCAAATACTCTTCAGTGGAAACAATGGGGAAAGACTGAAGGTTTTGAATTACAAAGGGGCCAAAATTAGACTCTGTTTTAGAATGATACCTTGATGTAATATGATGACCGGCTTAGAGTAAAGAGCAAATGGAACAAAGAGACAGGTTTGGCCATGGCTATAGTCCAGAAGAGAGATGACAAGACCCATGCTGGGGAAATGAAGAGATAAATTAAAAATATAGGAAGTAGAGATAAATTAAAAATATAGAAAATAGATGGGCTTGCCTGGATTTCATAATCAACCGAATGTTGAAGGTGGAATAGAAGGATCTTTGAACAACCATGCCCATTTTTAAACACCCTGCCTGCAATGACTACACAAACCCTTTATCCCAGTTGCACAGGCCTTTCTCATTCTCTGAACATGGCTTATAGAAGTGTTGGTACAGTGGTTTTCAACTACCACTGTCTACAGAGGGCTGTAATGGGAAAGAGGTTGAAAGGTAGGACTGGGTCATATAATGGAAATCTTTGAATGTCATGTTAAGGAGCTGGAATGAACTTTCAGTTTTTCTAAAGCTCAGGCTGGATGATATAATCTCTGGAGCATTATATGGACAAAGGAGAAACCAGAAGCAGGCCAATTAGGAAGTTATTGCAATAGATAGAATAGGAAATGATGAAGATGTATATCAGGGATGGGCCCAAGGGGTGAAAAGAAACATAGATTCTCTGGCCACTGCGAAACAGCAAGATTGGTGACAAGTCAGATGTGGTGGCTGAAGAAAAGCAGCTGAGATCAACTAGAGATTTGTAGCCCTAAGAATCACATACATGTGATTCAGCAACTAAGTGGACTTAGAAATTAATAACTGGATCCTAAATTTCAAAAAACCACCCCAGAAAAATATGTCAATATGTTCCCCACCAGCAATTACTCTAAAATGCTACTTCTAAATATAAAAGACAAAAAATTAAATTATATATGAAACACAGTTCCACTAGTGGGGAAAAAAAAGTGAAAATGTTACCCTTGGAGCAAATTATTCACTGAAAGGAAAGCCTATAGCATGTATATCTCAGATTTACTCCCAAGTGGCTGGATCATCTGTTGAGAAGCAAGGGCTACTAGATTAGCTACAAACTACATCCAAGTATTTATGGAATATATCAAATCTAAGATCTAATGTACCAAAACAAAATGCTTGAATGGGTTAAATTATTTCTGGATATATCTCAAGTGCTCTACAGACATGTATCATTATTTATGTTGGAAATAGAGGTGGTAATCGTGCTATTCTGAATTCTAAAAGATGTCTCTTCAAATTTCCTGTCCCTTCGTTATTCCACCAGATGCTTGGTACTGATGGTTGCATTTTGCTAATGGAATTAAAGTTACTAATAAGCTGACCTGAAAATAGAGAGGTTGTCCTAGATGATCTAGGTGGACCCAAAGTAATCACGGAGCCCTTAAAATCAGGAAGAAGAGGAGAAACTCAGATCTGTGATGCTTCAATGCTACAGAACGGGAAGTCAGATTCCAAATGTGAGAAAGATCTGACACACTAAGAAGGCTCTGAGATAGAGCAATCAACGGGCAAGGACCAGAGAGAAAGGATTCTTAGAGCTAAGGCTGGCTCTTAGCTAACAGCAAACAAGGAAACAGAAGCCTCATTCCTACAGCCATAAGGAATCAGATTCTGTCTACCAAAGTAAGCTTGGAAGCCAAATCTTTGCAAAGCCTTCCAACAGGAGTGCAGCCAGGCAACACCTTGATTTCAGCCTTGTGAACCTTGACTAGGGAAACAGACCCAGCCAACCCAGGTTTCTGAGCTACAGAACTGGGCGATAATATATTTGCACTGTTTGAAGCTGCTAAATTTGTTATGACGGCAAGAGAAAAGGAAAACAATACTCAAACATAGAAATATATTTAATATTCAACGTATCAAGGATATGATATGCACAGGTTGTGAGAAAATAAATACAGAAAATTCAGGAGACCAATAGGGCAGAGGTTGGCAAATAATGGTGTGTGGGCAAAATTCACCCCACTACATGTTTTGTATGGTCTGGGAGCTAGGAGTGGTTTTTACATTTTTTAGTGGTTGGGGAAAAAAATCAGAAGAGCAATATTTCATGACATATGAAAATTATATGACTTCTATTCAAAATTCAGCATCTGTAAGTAAAGTTTTATTGAAATATAGCCATGCTCATTTGTTTACGTATTATCTCTGGCTGTTCTTCTACTTTAAATGCAGAGTTGAGTATTTTTAGCAGAGACCACATGGCCTTCAAAGTCTATAATATTTACTCTCTGGAATTTTAGTTTTTAAGAGTTTGCCAACGTCTGCGACAGGACAGAGTTTACACAAAAAGAAAACAAGCGAAATAATATAGATCAGAGATTAAAAATGACCCAATAGTGGCATACCAAAATCTCACTTCTGGTTTTTTTTGAAATCTTTCTGGGATATGGGGTGAGCTGGCTAGCACACCAACAGCAGTTTCATATGTGACAGGGGAAGTGGGCCACCACCTGTCTACATGGCCCAGGAAATGGTCCTCCATGTCATCTTTACCATATATGCCTAGAGCTGCTGCCAACACCTAACACAAATAAGATCTTCCCAGAATTGTTAGTCATTACCTCTTGCTATCCTTGTAGAAACAATCATGATAATCCTTGTATTTGCTCAACTCAGATGTGCACTTGAGTCATTTGTCATCTCAGAGCTCTGAACAACATCAGAACAATCTCTTGGGATTGTGCCTTTACCACGTTCTCTGATCCTTGAGGTAGTTGCGAGTCTTGTTGGAAGAATGGGGAGCCAACACCTAGTGAGTGTATGCAGTGTACCAAGGAATGTGCTAGGCACTTAATGCAGGTCTCTAATCCTCACTCTAAATCATGAAGTAGTTATTATTATTCTCTCTTTCAGATGAGGAAACCAAAGCTCACAAGGGTTTAATAACTTGCCAAAGGTATAAAGTATTATGACAGAAACAGGATTTATACTGAAAGCTCATACTCTTTACATTTGGCTAAACTGCCAGAAAAGAACACATAGTTGCCAGCTATAACAAGGCTTTAAGCGCTATGATCATGCACATGTGTGCATGCACACATCCACACATGGACCCTAGGGGTAGAGTGATAGGAATAAAGGGTGGTGAAAGAGTAAAGAAAATAAACATGATACCCACCATACAATTTATATCCCTCTGTGTCACATCAACCTAATATTTGAAAAATACAAGGCTTGGAATATATTTGGTGTTTCCTCCAGGTCATACTCTGAAGAATGAGTTTGACTGAAACTAAGTGAGTTACACTCATTATTTGTCATTAATGATTATTTAGTATTCAGAGTTTTCTAGGCCCTATTTTTTTTTTTAAGGTCAAACTCCTGGGACTTCAAACTTTCACTTGGAAGCTTATTTAAATGTAAAGTCAAGTTCTCCTTAGATTTATAGAGGGAAAATATGTAATCTTACCCCCCCCCAAAAAAAGAAAATGACTAAAACATTCATTTCCTGGTTATCTTCTATGATTTACTGGAGAGATCTGAGATAAGACATGTTTATTAGATACACTGAGATACAACAGAGGTTTCCTTCCTGTTATTCATAAGGAAACTAATTAGAATTACTTATAAATTTACTCATTACCTATCAAATATTTATTGCATGCCTACTACGTATTAGGCCTTCTGCTAAGGCTAGGAGTAAAGATGTAAATAAGACAAACAAGGACTCTGGCCTTACATAGATGATAGTCTATATTCTTTTCCTCTTTTCCAAACACAAAAACTGAAAAAGAAATCCCTAGACACATTATGGTAAAACGGCAGAACACTCCAGAAAAAGAGAACATCTTACAAATAGGTAGGGAGGAAAAATTCCCCCAAATTACATACAAAGAAATGACAATTAGAAAGATAGTTGACTTTCAATAGTAATAACGAAATCCGGAATTCATCCAGTCAATGATATCTTCAAAGTACTGAGAGGAAATAACTACCAACCTAAAATTGTATATACAGAAAACCACTGCTCAGGAATGAGGATGAAATAAAAAAATTTTCAGCAAATTAAAAACTGAAATGATCTATTATGAACAGAGTTTCACTAAAGGAAGGTCTAAAGATTGTACTTCAAGAAGAGGTAAAAGAGATCTCAGATATAAAAAGAAATGGTGATAAATGAAATTTGTAAAATGTGGATAAATCTAAACATTGATATATACACAAAAATTATATTATCTAATTGTTGAATTAAAAAATAAGTCCAAGCAAGAACTAAAAAAACAAAAGCAAACAAAAAGATATGTCTAAAACAAAACAAAAAGTATATATAAGCCCGGGAGAAGATATTCAAAGTTTAAGAATATCAAATTCCTTTAATAAGAAGAAAAGTAAAATTATTGATTCATAAAATTAAAATGAATGTTGTAATTTCTAGAGTAACCACTGAAAATAAAAAATCATAAATAATATCTGCACTATTAGGAAAAATAAAATGGAATGAGAAAAATATACTTCAATCTGTAGAAAGTACAAATAAAAGCAAATAAAATCTACAGATAATACATAAAAGCAAATATTACAGTGATCACAACAGAAACA